GCGTGCGTGCGTGCGTGTGTGTGTGTGTGTGTGTGCGTGTGTGTGTGTGTGTGTGTGAGTGATTGACAGGCCATGACCAGTTGCTTCCCATTCACATCTGCATGCTGAGCTTCCAATCCGACAGCGCTGCAGATCAATCAGAATCTTCTGGGATCAGAATGTAGGGAGACAGGAAACACGACTTGCTTTGCTGGTTTTACACAAACTTAGACAGATCGCCGCGTGGCCTCATCTTCCCTGTTTCAAAACAGCAATCAAACAAGTTCAACAGGATCAAGTTCAAACACTTTCCAGTTGTCTGGGCAAAAACAAAAGCTTACATTTGACAATGAAGTTAAGCATATTTCGTTATTGTTATTACAAAAATGAAATAATTAAAGCTCGCACACTAATATGGAACATATACTTTAAAGTAAAAAAAAAAGTTAAAGTCCCATTAGTTGTCACACACACAGGTGTGTGTGCGAAATTTGTTCTCCGCATCTGACCCATCCCCTGGGGGAGCGGTGAGCTGCAGACACAGCCGCGCTCGGGAACCATTTGGTGGTTTAACCCCCAATCCAACCCCCTTAATGCTGAGTGTCAAGCAGGGAGGCATTGGGCCCCATTAATCAAAGTCTTTGGTATGACCCGACCAGGAATCGAACCCCTGATCTCCCAGTCTCAGGGCGGACACTCTACCACTAGGCCACTGAGAAAGGTCAAACCACAGGCATCAAACTCAGGCCCTCTGGCCAAATTCTGCCCACAAGATCATATATTAAATGTAAATTAGAACTACCCCAGCACAAACATCAAAGACTCCTCAGAGGATAGGGAGGAGGGTATTCAGCTAGTTTCAGCTGAAGAAACAACAAACTACAGCTTATATGCTGTAGTTTAAAATTTAAGAGTTTTAATTCTTCAATTTAAACTAACGATTTGAAATGACAATCATAGGAAGAACAATTAACATTGGCAACCTTGTTGGACAATCTTTAACAGTTGATATTTTAAGCTTGCACAAATAGACCTTGTGTTGAATGTGCTAAGATTGAGAATGATGTAATTATGACTGCGTGCATGCAGGTGTCTGAGATTGCTTCAGGGGGAGAAAAGGTGAATCTGAGTGAAAAATGATGTTTTGAATTAAACTTTAGTTTTTTTTTTTATTAGAAAAACTGCATCAGAACGCTATCTATTGTGTTCTGCCTCACCGTACTCAGGACCCTCTTTCAGATCCGGACCTCGGAGGATGTTTATCCAGGTCACACCTTGGCTGGCAGAGAAGACGAAGGTGCGCTGACGGTCCAGTCCAGAGTTGACCTCGGTACACGTTGATGAAGCGTTTGGCAGACGCGCTTTCTCAAGTTTAAATTAACTCAGAAATCAAAGACTCTGGACGAGTCTGCGTAAGCTGGTTGCATTTCAGCTATTCTGTCTGGCTTGACAGAAATAGCGTGGGGGGGAGAAAAGAGCCGGCAGGGCTCCTTTCCCCGTTGGCGTTTGTTCCCGCACGTCCGCTCTCCCTCCTTCTCAATCTCGTTCTGACTAACTTACCAAAAACCACTTCTCTTCCCAAAGCAAACTTGTGCGTCAGAGCAAATGTGTTTTGGAGTTACTGTGAATCCAGACCTGTGTGAGCGAGTGTGAAGGTCATCGCTAACCTCTTCAAAAACATTATTTAATTAAGTATTGATTCATTATGATTACCCAAAGCATAATAATCATTCATTTGATTAAAATACATTTATAGTGAGCAAAATGATCAAATGATTATTTAGCATTAATAAACAAAGAAAGCGTAAGACTCTTTATTATGACTAGATTGTGTGAGAATTCCTTCTTCTGGAGCTGCAGGTGTTAGATGTTGTGGCTTTCTTCAGACTTGCTGTCGGCTCAGGTCTTAATCTGTGGGTGAAAGTTGCTGCGTGACCCAGCTTTGACCCAGCCGGGCAAATACGACCTTTGGCACAGAAAACCCATATTTCCTCACGTTACATGTGCTTTCTAAAGACATTATCCCGTATTTTTGTTGTTACTTTGAACAGAATTGTCTATAAAACGAAAAAGTTAAGGTGCCTACTAATAAAATCATTGTACAAGTTTTTTTTTACTTTGTGTATAGTGTTGAAATCAGTGTGAACAGTAACTTTGAGATATTGAATAAAAATAAAATAACACTGTTGCAGCTTGTGACTCACATGAGGATTTACATGTGTAAAGAATCTACACTTTGCTATAGTCTGGTGATTGTGTGCAACACTGTTATGCCTCACTTCTAAGATAGTATGAGAGATATGTCACGATAATTTTGCATACCAATTTGAGTTATTGCCATAGAATTATGATTAGTGGAACAAACACTTGGAACAATAAAACCCCAATCAACACTGTTGCTCTCATGAAAATATACAGGAAGCAGATAAGCTGTTTGGTCACCAGTGAAGAAGTAATGTTTACATGAATAAGGAATCGTAACTCTGCATTAGTCTGTTGTTTCAAAATTTAACAGATGCTTTCCACTTTCCACTGTGAGTTATTTTAGTCTGGCCATATTTTAAATGTGAAGCTTGTTGCATCCCAGAACCTTGTCGCAACAAAAATTCTACCCATCCTATACAGATGCAGCGCAGCAACACGCTCCTGGGGTGAGCCTGACCATAGACTAGCTGGGGCTTTTCTGGTTACAGGCTCCCTGGGATCCCTGCGCTCTGGGGCAGCTCCTGGATCTCTGGGACTTGGAGCTCCCTCCATCTCCAACACATTTTTGGAGGACAGATCTGTAGCCCTTCACACTCTCTATTGGACGCTCCTATAGAGAAACCTTACATATACAAGCACGTGTACACACACAGGTGCTCACATGGTGCTCTCATAAGTGTGGACTTGGGCACGTTCAACACACGTCTTAAGGCTGTGGCTTGATGCTAAACGCACTGTGATTTATTATTGTGAGGTTGTTCAGTAAAATAATGTTGATTTTATATTTCCTCATCAGGTTGACACAGAGATAACTTGCTCTTGTTGTATTGTTGTGGTTCTTTTTTCTGTTTTTTTCTCTTTCTGCAGGTCTAGACTCAGATTGTTCTTCATCATTGATTGTTTATTTTGTGGACCCCCCCCCCCCCCCCCCCCCCCCCGTCTTCCTTTCTCTTTCACCTCTCTCAAATACTACAATGTCTGGTCAGATTTAAAAAGCACCCAAAAAACAATAACATTAAAGTTTTAAGTATCAGGCGTGACATTAGAAGCAGACGCTTTGATGCTCCACCTGAGAGTAAATCTGTAAGGCTTGTCACCAGCGTTCAGACATTAATTCTGTTTGTCTCACAGCCAGACAGCACACAGAAAAAAGAAAAAGAAAAAAGAACGCAAAGCTCTCGATTTACTGGTCGATCTACGTTCCAACCCTCACCTATGGTCACGAGGTTTATTTAGTGACCAAAATAATGAGATCGCGTATAAAAGCGGCTGAAATGAGTTTTCTCGACGTGATGGCTGGGCTCTCTCAGGGTGAGAAGTTTGGAGTAGACCTGCTGCTCCTCTACATCAAGAGGAGCCAGCTAAGGTAGCACGGGCATCTCGTCAGAATGCCTCCTGGATGCATGAATGGATGGAAGGATGGATGGATAGTGTCACAATTTAATTACATTTTTAGGTAATTGTTGAATCACTGCAGCAAAGTGAACTTGTAAGCAAAGTAAATAATGAACCAAAACAACAGAAACGTCACTAAACAGGAACGCTAAAGAACCAACTTTCCTAAAACTGCTTGTAAACTGAAAGTGTCATTAAAGTTATTGTCTATTATTGCAGAATATGTCGATGACATCATGGAACTGGCCTTTGGAAAAGTTTTCCCTGAACCAACTCTGTTTCTAGATGAGGTAGAGAAGATCAGCATCCCACTAACCCTCTGGTCTCAGCAATCAGACAACAGAGGTTCCTGCCTACGTCTCCCGCTTTGATCCAGGACCGGTTTGAAGCCCACTGCCCCTCCCTCATCATCAGGAAACTTTTGCTCTATCCAGAGGACAACAAAAGATGGGAGGGTGACATGAACTCTGAGACCTAGATGTCACCATCACCTACGCCTGTTGAACTACTAAAGCCAACAGGGGAGACATTACTAAATGCCCACTACCACTTCTTTAAATATGTTTGTTCATTCTCTCGATTCATTATATTTTTACTTGTTAGCTGTGAGATTGATACTTTGTAAACAGTGGACCGACAATGGACCAACAAACACTGGGTTTTTAACACTTAAGCCTGATTCATCCTTCTCCGTCAGCTCCAAAAGGGAGAGACACGCACGCACGGACGGAGATGCTTCGCCCTCATACTTCTCCATCTCCTGGGGAGTGTTGCAGAGTAATTCCCCACCGGGACAGCAGAGGGCGTAGCGCTGTTCTGTGGTATCCTGTCATGTATCGGTCCAAGCGGCTGTGTCTCAATTCAGGGTCTGCATCCTTCGAAGGACCCAGCCCACCCGGCCGACGTGGGCTGCGTCCTCCGTCGGCCGGGTAGACCGGATGTTAACGGCTGTGAATTTGGACAGGCCTAGCCTTCATGAACTCCCTCGGCGAACGTTCCGTCGCCTAGCAACCGTGGAACCGCTGGGCAGAAGGAACCTTAAACGATGGAGCTCGACGTTTTATTTAGCTTTTTAACCCCCAGAAACCCAAATTTAGAAAACTGCAAAATATTTTTAACCTTTCACATGTTGTTCTAGGAGGCCAGATAAACGGGCCTATTTACACATTTTAACAGCCAGTAGTGTTGTAGAACTGAATAGGACCTATTAGCAATGTAAATGTGGTTTTAAAAAGAAAAAAAAATGGGGAAGGTTTATTTTTGTAGACTTAAATCTGATGTTGTGATACTACAACCGTGGGTCTCTGGGGGTTAATCATTTCCTTGACTGTTGGAGAGCTAATTCAGAGAAAATACTTTAGACTAGCTGAGCCTGAGCAAAGATGTGATAATAGTTTTTAATACTTAAGGGTCTTAATTTGACCAAAACCGATTTATCACCTTTTAAGACTTTTCAAGACCCAGCGGATACCCTCTAGTAAACAATTCTCATTTGTAAACAAAAATAAAATTCAAGAGTTTAATGCAGAACTGATTTTATTTAGATATTTCTTTTATATGTACATGTTTAATCTTCATTAACCATTTTTTCTAGCAAAGTAAAAAGCTGTCAAAGTTCTTCCTTCTCTCCTGTGCTCTCTGCTGCTCTGCAGCCTCATGTCCTCCCAGATCAGCTCCAGAAGCTCATCGCTGGCACCTTCCCCTGGATGCCCATTTTCTCCAGAATAGTCTTAACAAACATGTAAGAAAAGAAACAGGAAGAGAAAAGAGGACAACGGGTTATTCCTTTCATGTTTTCGCAGAAAAAAATATACTCAAACGAGTTTTTAAAATATGAGATGTTATTGTACCTCCATGCCACAGCCGCCGAATACTTTGCTCCGGTGATCATGTGGTCCATCTCCGCCCTAAGCTTAATAAATTCCCTGGTTTTCTCTTTTGGTCCTAAAATACAAACTTCTATTAAAATCAGGGGGAAAACGTAGCGGGAGAAGTACGACACCGAGCGCGGCCGAACATACGAGCCGAGACCGCAGTACAAGCACTTTTACTGTAACATTTATCACTAAAATAACGTTCATGTATCACAAAAAGTCCTTAAACTGACAGTTTTCAAGTTTATACTGACATTTATATGCGCAATCCTCTCCGACAGCTCCCGCTTCACTGTCCGCCATTGTTTTTAAGTTTTTCTGCCGGCCGGCCGCAAGGCATCTTGGGAAATGCTACCTGTTGAAGGATACACCCGACCCATCCTTCATTCAGGCGAAAAGAAGGCCGCATTCGTCGACCGCATTTGAAGGAGTCTTCGAATTGGGACAGGCCGAGTCGCGGCGCTGTGACGTAACCGGCCGACGAATCCGGCCGAGGTAGGATGCAGACCCTGAATTGAGACACAGCCGCTGTGTCTCAATTCAGGGTCTGCATCCTTCGAAGGACCCAGCCCACCCGGCCGACGTGGGCTGCGTCCTCCGTCGGCCGGGTAGACCGGATGTTAACGGCTGTGAATTTGGACAGGCCTAGCCTTCATGAACTCCCTCGGCGAACGTTCCGTCGCCTAGCAACCGTGGAACCGCTGGGCAGAAGGAACCTTAAACGATGGAGCTCGACGTTTTATTTAGCTTTTTAACCCCCAGAAACCCAAATTTAGAAAACAACTGCAAAATATTTTTTAACCTTTCACATGTTGTTCTAGGAGGCCAGATAAACGGGCCTATTTACACATTTTAACAGCCAATAGTGTTGCAGAACTGAATAGGACCTATTAGCAATGTAAATGTGGTTTTAAAAAGAAAAAAAATGGGGAAGGTTTATTTTTGTAGACTTAAATCTGATGTTGTAATACTACAACCGTGGGTCTCTGGGGGTTAATCATTTCCTTGACTGTTGGAGAGCTAATTCAGAGAAAATACTTTAGACAAGCTGAGCCTGAGCAAAGATGTGATAATAGTTTTTAATACTTTCTAAGGGTCTTACTTTGACCAAAACCGATTTATCACCTTTTAAGACTTTTCAAGACCCAGCGGATACCCTCTAGTAAACAATTCTCATTTGTAAACAAAAATAAAATTCAAGAGTTTAATGCAGAACTGATTTTATTTAGATATTTCTTTTACATGTACATGTTTAATCTTCATTAACCATTTTTTTCTAGCAAAGTAAAAAGCTGTCAAAGTTCTTCCTTCTCTCCTGTGCTCTCTGCTGCTCTGCAGCCTCTTGTCCTCCCAGATCAGCTCCAGAAGCTCATCGCTGGCACCTTCCCCTGGATGCCCATTTTCTCCAGAATAGTCTTAACAAACATGTAAGAAAAGAAACAGGAAGAGAAAAGAGGACAACGGGTTATTCCTTTCATGTTTTCGCAGAAAAAAATATACTCAAACGAGTTTTTAAAATATGAGATGTTATTGTACCTCCATGCCACAGCCGCCGAATACTTTGCTCCGGTGATCATGTGGTCCATCTCCGCCCTAAGCTTAATAAATTCCCTGGTTTTCTCTTTTGGTCCTAAAATACAAACTTCTATTAAAATCAGGGGGAAACGTAGTGGGAGAAGTACGACACCGAGCGCGGCCGAACATACGAGCCGAGACCGCAATACAAGCACTTTTACTGTAACATTTCTAACTAAAATAACGTTAATGTATCACAAAAAGTCCTTAAACTGACAGTTTTCAAGTTTATACTTACATTTATAAGCGCAATCCTCTCCGACAGCTCCCGCTTCACTGTCCGCCATTGTTTTTAAGTTTTTCTGCCGGCCGGCCCGCAAGGCATCTTGGGAAATGCTACCTATTGAAGGATACACCCGACCCATCCTTCATTCAGGCGAAAAGAAGGCCGCATTCGTCGACCGCATTTGAAGGAGTCTTCGAATTGGGACAGGCCGAGTCGCGGCGCTGTGACGTAACCGGCCGACGAATCCGGCCGAGGTAGGATGCAGACCCTGAATTGAGACACAGCCAGTGTGTTTATATTGTGTTTTTTGTATATAAGAGACTTTTTAAAACAGACTAATTTGTCTCTCATCCTCCTCCACCTCTTCATGCGCTCCCCACCTCTAAACCCACGTTTCCTGTCATTTCCATCCACAAATAAAATGCTTGCTGCGTATCTTTTCACTCTTCCAGTCTATGAGGTTCCGAATGTGCCAAAAATGTGTCTATGTATTTATGTGCGTGTCTATGTATTTGGACGCACACTGCACTGCGTTGCTGTAATGTGTGTGTATGTATTTATGTGCGTGTCTATGTATTTATGTGCGTGTCTATGTATTTGTACGCACACTGCTCTGCATTGCTATAATGTGTGTCTATGTATTTATATGTGTCTATGTCTATGTATTTAAATGTGTCTAAGTCTATGTATTTAAATGTGTCTATGTATTTAAATGTGTCTATGTCTATGTATTTAAATGTGTCTAAGTCTATGTATTTAAATGTGTCTATGTATTTAAATGTGTCTATGTATTTAAATGTGTCTATGTCTATGTATTTAAATGTGTCTATGTATTTAAATGTGTCTATGTCTATGTATTTAAATGTGTCTATGTCTATGTATTTAAATGTGTCTATGTATTTAAATGTGTCTATGTCTATGTATTTAAATGTGTCTATGTATTTATATGTGTCTATGTATTTATATGTGTCTATGTATTTATATGTGTCTATGTATTTAAATGTGTCTATGTATTTAAATGTGTCTATGTATTTATATGTGTCTATGTATTCAAATGTGCTATCACAGCACGTGACAACAGCACGTGACAACAGCACGAGACAACAGCTCGTGACAACAGCACGTGACAACAGCACCAGACAACAGCACGAGACAACAGCACCAGACAACAGCACGTGACAACAGCACCAGACAACAGCACGTGACAACAGCACATGACAACATCACCAGACAACAGCACGTGACAACAGCACCAGACAACAGCTCGTGACAACAGCACCAGACAACAGCACGTGACAACAGCACCAGACAACAGCACGAGACAACAGCACCAGACAACAGCACGTGACAACAGCACCAGACAACAGCACGTGACAACAGCACATGACAACATCACCAGACAACAGCACGTGACAACAGCACCAGACAACAGCTCGTGACAACAGCACGTGACAACAGCACGTGACAACAGCACGAGACAACAGAGAGTAACGACAGACTGAGACAATACATAGACACATTTTTGGCACATTCGGAACCTCATACCAGTCACGGGGGAAGTAAACGTTCATGTTTTTAGAGATTTTTCGCGAGGTATTCTTCAAGCTGCTCCGTGTCTGCCGCTAGTTATTCTCTGCTCTCTTTATGTTTTTGAGGGTGCAATGGCGGCGGTGTAGACGACAGTGGCGTCCTGACCAATCACAAGCTTGCGTTCTCCGTCTCGACGGACGGATGTTTAGAAAAGAGAGCTCGATTACGTTCGTCCTTGCGGACTTCTCCAGCAGGCCCGCAAGGACAGATAATGGCGTTGCGTGACTCCGCACTGACGCAGACGGATAAGCATGAATCAGGCTTTAGGGGAGCAATCAGGGAACAGGTGACAGATGTGAGGAGTGAGGTCTGGAGGGAAGACAGGTGCCATGCATTAATAAACTAAATGGGGAAAGAACTTAAGCAGAGGGGAAGGTAAACCATAATCTATAAAACACTAAATAACTCAACCTAAAGACTAAGGGCAAAGATAAACAACTAATGACTAGAGGGGTGAGGAGGACAGCTCTCATTGTCAGCTCTATGACAATGCTCTATTAACGGTTCTATCGTTGTCGTTCTGTCATTGGCCCATAATGGGCTCGACACACGGGAGGCGACATCGCCTCTCCTCCATTCATTTTCAATGAGACATGCGCGACAAAGCGATAATCACAGGTCTCTCTCTTACTAAGCGAAACGCGAAAAATGTGCATGTGCAATTTTGCGCTTGTGCACGTGTCAGCGACGCGATCCCAGAAAGTTGAAACATTTTCAACTTTTCATCGCTGTCGCTGGGACGAGGACCAATCAATGGAGGTTTCATTCACTGACCAATGAGTGGACAGGATACTCCGTACACCTCCAAGCAAACATGGAGGAGAAGTTGATTATTATTATGTTTTATAGTAAAATCACAAGTAAGATTTCACATAACTCTAACAGCACCTTGTGAAACATCATATCTACCACTTTATTAACTCTGAACCGCTTAAATAACCTTAATTCCCTCCAACCTGACACAGCCAAACAAAACAACGGAAGTTTTGATTTCGCCATGGAACAGAACGTGTAGACGGCTTTGCCGCTGGCCGCGGATCGCCTCCCGTGTGTCAGGTAATAAAAGCGACAGCGACAAATTTCGCTGATCGCGGTCGTTTGTCGCCTCCCGTATGTCGAGCCCATAAAGCAGATAGAGCGCTATGACTGACCCACCATTGTGGACTAATCATCACAGCATTCTCAGTTTCAAACCCCTATAGAGAGCTGTGATTGGCCAGCCGGAAGGGACTGCTGAGGTTCCAACGGAGCATTCCTAGACCAATACGGCTCTTTTTCAGACTCTCCTCAGAACAGGATAGAGGAGGGGTCTGAAGAGCAACAATGATGAGGAAATGAAACCCAAGAACTGCAGTTCCACTATATTTAGTCCACAACCTCCTAAAAAGAGACAATGCTAGATCTCACGTGGCTGGAGTTTGGCAGCAGTTCCTGCAAGACAAAGGCCCGCCCGTTTCCCAGACCTGAATCCAATTGAGCACATCTGGGACATCATGTCTTGCTCCACCCACCAATGTCACTTTGCACCACAGACTGTCCCAGAGTTGGCGGGTGCTTTAGTTCAGGTCTGGGAGGAGATCCCTCAGGAGACCATCCACCTTCTCATCAGTCCTCATCATCCTCATGTTCTGAGGAAGGTGTCTAACCCAAGACATGCAGAATCAACCCAGGAGACGGTATAATGAAAAATAATATTTTTATTTGTGGATAACGCTAACTGAGGGGGCACTGGGAATTCCAGTGGACAGGGGAAACGGGAAACTCAGCGTTGGGGTAAAATGAGTTCAGAGAGTGAGGGGATGGGTAAAGAGCCGGGGGTATCCAGGTGAGCGGTTCCAGAGCTGGAGAGGGAGTGGGTAGTCGTTGGAGAGCGGGTCGGTCAGAGGTGAATGGATGATGTGGCGTGTGAGCAGAGCAGAGTCCTATTGAGCGTGGTGAGGGAATAATCCAGAGATGAGGAGAACCTGAGGTCGGAGATCCAAGAGACGTAAAGTCACAAAAATCCCAGGAAAGGGTACACGTAATAATGTTCACAAAAACCAAGAGCCAAGTATGAGGGCTGGAAACTACCAGTCAGTAGCAATCATCCGGCGTCGAGTAGTGTCACCTTCCTCCTTAAGAAGCCAACCCACTGAT